GAATTGCCTTAAAAATGCAAACATATTTTGCAGGTCCAGGTACCAATATACACCTACCCTTTAAAAAGTTTAATTATTTCTATCCAATTCAATTCAATAAGCACTTAATGAGTGCCTACCATTTACCTGATTTTGTCCTAGATTTTGGTGATACACAAGGATGAAGAAAGAGTAGGAAGAGGAAAAAGAAAAGGAAGAGGAAAAGAGGAGGAGGAGGAAGAGGAAGAAGATGAAGAGGAGCAGGTAAAGGAAGAAGGAGGAGGAGGAACAGAAGGAGAAGAAACAATAGTCCCTGTTTAAACAGTCCCAGTTCTCAGGTAACTTAAATCCCATGTGATTCAGACTATGTCATTTGGTTTATGCCATGATTCAGCTGCATTTTATTCATTGCTGGAAAAAAATGAGGGATGCTGCTCAAAATGACAAAAATATCATTCTTTTGGCATCTTAAAACTGATATTTACCAGTTGGTTTATTTACACATGAGCTTTTGCATTGATAAGCAAAGGCTTGTCAGACCTTGGAGAGTCCCCTTAAGCTTCTCTGGGACTCAACTTCCTCATCTGTAAAATAAGAGGGTTAGACCAGATGATCTTTGAGATCTCTGCTAACAACAAAGTTCCACGATTGTTAGTTTATTTTATGGGACAGCCAAATCTCTCCTTTCATATTGAGACATTGTTAACATCCTGATATACAGAGAGAATTGTACAAGACCCTGACTGTCAGATTCTGAATTTGAAAGTTATAGATGTAAGAGAGTTCTACATAAGTAATTCTTCAAGCTTGACAGAATTCCATTCCTCTTCAAATCACCAGCATAATAAATGACTATGCTTAAATATTGAATCTGGAGTGGTGGGAGGGGATAGAACTGGTGAGCTAATGGCAGGAAAGGGTTTATGTGTCTTCTGGGCAGTTTTCCCTTAATTCCCAAATAAGGTATTCCTTCAGTTGATTTGGCTTGTGTATATGAAAACATAATTGTATTTTATAGGCTATTACCATAATACTAGTCACTACTGAGTAATCAAGATTAATGGCACTTTAATGAGAAAACTACTATATGCCCGCATATGCCCTGTGGGTCCTGATTTAATCTCATGTAAGAAGAGTGAGATTCACTGATGTGGGGAAAATTGGTGTTTTACTGTATAACTGGTTAAATCAGTAATACCAAGTAGATTCTACGATTCAATTTCAGTCAAATTACCTCTTAGATTTCTTAAACTTTCTTGGGGGAAAATGAATAAGTAAGTAAAATGCAAATAAATTATGGATTGTCCTTAATTTTTTGTCCCCAAAGAAATTACCTAGTACTGGGAAAGGGTGGTATTAGAGAACCTAAGTTTGTATTCCCCCACTAATGCTTATTCTGGTACCCTGGGGGAGATCCTTAACCTTCTTAGACTTGATCTGTTCCAGTTCTAAATAAATAATTGTGTAATTCCATTCCTTGAAATTGTGATCTGAACACAACAATACTGTCATTAAGAGAAAAATATGACTGCAATTTCCACTTGTTTATTGGGGTTTGAATCTAGACTTATAACACCTCTCTCATCTCTATTTTACTTTATGATTGGGGAAATGTATTCCATTTTCTTTCATAGTTCTGTCCCTGAGGCTTTTATGTTTCCCAGGAGCCCTTTCTTTGCTCCTAGGTAAAGCAAGGCATGAATGCGTAGTAGGTTGCACCTCATTCTCAAAGCTGAGAGTTCTCTCCCCAGGGGATTCTCTGTGCTCTCATGCCACTGTGAGTGCAGTATTGGAATGGGACAGATGCAGAAATTAGTGAACACATTGTAAGTTGGCTGTTACCAGTCACAGCATTTCGTTCGTCAGTGTCAATTACATGGTATAGTGTCTGAGATTTAAGAAACACCAAAGCCCTTCCCAAACTGTAAATATCCCAGGATCTGATTAAGGAAACACCTTGATCTCAGCAAAATCTAACCTTCCTAAATTCTACAAATCAGGGTAGCTGAACTGAAGCCCTAAAGTGGGTGCTCTTGAAGCAAATCTAAAAGACAAATATTTCCTGTTTCAGAATAAATTGATGCTAAGCTTTAAAATAATACATCATTTAACATGATATTACTCAAAACTCCAGGGATCAGTGATTTTTTTGGGGTGTGAGTACTCCCTTCATTAACATGACTCATCCCTTTTTATAGGTTAGCAGACTGCTCTCCTAAAATCCCAGCTTTTGTGCAAGAAGAAATGCAAGAAATCATTTAGTCCAACTCCTTTCTTGCATAGATGAAGAAATTGGGGTTCAGAGAAGTTTAGTAACTTGTCCAAAGTCACTTAAGTAGTAAGTGGCATAGGTAGGATTTGAGCTCAAGGACCTTGACTCTAAATCCACTATACAGTACTACCTACCAGTGTGTTGCTGTGGCAAGACAAAATGAGAGAAAACCAATAGAGAAACAAAAATCATCTAGGGGCCAACATTTTGGTAATAGTGTTTTTTGTATTTCTTTATGTCTTCAGAGGTAAGCACAGTACTGAGCACATAGAAACCACTTAATAAATACTTGTTGACATAACTTAGCTAAGTTGGTGCTTGGATAGCAGAGATATAAGACATCATTGACCTCGTACTTAAAGCTTTGCCACTTTTATAAGACCTATCAGCTTTCACACCTTCTCCTGGAATAGCCCAGCAGAATCAAGGTTCATTTCTAACACTCAATGAGTGTAGATTCTGTAAGACTGTATAACATTTACTTACTGTGTGATAACTGAATGAGATGTTAACATTTTTTTGGAGAAGCAAACATTTACTATAGCACTTTGGGGTGAATTTTGGTTCCTATCTAGGGTCAAGCTAAACACCAAAATTCTTCTGGGATATAGTCTTGTACAATTCTCTATCTTCCTGAAGCTTTTCTCAGATTATATAGTCCTTGCTCTTAAAAAATTATAGGGTTATATGGGAATGCTAAAGATTTTCCTAATATTAGACTTCTCCATTTATATTAGGGTTTGGCATTCCAGGGTGGTCTGCAGAAAAGTGAACAGGCAGTTGTGAGGCCCAGTGAATATCGCACTGGATCTTAGGTCAGAAGACCTGAGTTCAAATTTGACCTCATACACTTGTTAGCTGTATGACCTTAGACAAGTCACTTAACCACTGGTTGCTTCAGTTTCCTCAACTATAAAATGTGAGTAATAACAGCACCTACCTCACAGGGTTGTTGTGAGGATCAAATGAAATAATATTTTTAAAGCACTTAGTGCAGTGCCTGGAACATAGTTGGTATGATATAAGTGCTAGCTATTATTATTATTATTCTACATGAAATCTTATGGTATAATAGAGATGATTTAGTAGTCTTTATAAGGGAGAACCATGAACAAGAGAATGAAAGAATGGAAATAATAGGCTGAGTGCCCCAATGAAATAAAAAAAATAAAATAGAAAGAAGTAAAAACAATGTGCTAAGTAGATATGGGCAAGGGCCAGAACAAAATCAGATGATTTAAAACAGGCTTTCTAAACTCTTTATATGTCATGGATCCCTGTAACAATGCTAACAGATGTTAGGATTCAGATGGGTCCTCTGACTCCAAATCTCTCTATTACACCAAGCTACTAGAACATCTGAAAGACTGTCTAACAAATACAGTCTAGAACTTAAGGGTTGAGAAATCGAATCAATCAATAAACTGTCTTCTCATTCCAATAGAATGTAGGCTCTTAAGGGCAGGGGTGGCTAGTGCTCTGGACCTAGAATCAGGAAGACCCGAGTTCAAATTATGCCTCAGACACTTAACTAGATGTGTGACCCTGTTCAAGCCACAACTTCTTTGAGCCTGAGTTTCCTCATCTATAAAATTGGAATAATGATAGCACCTACCTTGTAGGGTTGTCATGAGGATAAAATAAAAATATTTGTAAAATACCTTGCAAATTTTAAAGTACTACAAAACACCAGATGTCATTATTATTTTGCATTTAATAAATGCCTCCTGATTGGTTTATTTGTTAAAAATATAGACAAAGAAAAATAACATAGGAAAGGAATAAATTATATAGTTTATATCCAAGTCACCAAATTCTATGATTTTATCATTGGATAAGCTACCTGAATTAAAAAAAAATAGGACCACATAATCAGGAACTCCTTCCTCCTTCTTCTCCCTATTCTTTTGCTACCCTCTCTGTGGGAATATTTTATTCCATTATTAACCTTCACATGTCATTCTGGCTTTATAAATTCAACTTGGCTTATCTCTTTTTTCCTGGGAAAGAAGATGCTAAAACATAACTGCTATGCTCTCTGGTACAATCCTAGCTTTGTTGTGTCTCTTCCCATTATTTTCAGTGAAAAATTATTTACCTTATGAATATCAATAAGAAAGAAACTGGCTTTCTCTCTAGTAATAAAATCAGTACTTCTTAAGGTAACATCATACTGAACACACATAATTAATGAACACAATATATCAATATTCACAGAGAGCCTAATGTTTACATACATACTCACTCATTAAGAGATGGAAGAAACCAAAGTTTCTATAAAGACAGATAATAAGTAATGCCCCGGGGTATTCCAAACCTTTGGGAAATCTTAACACTTCCAGATCTGTGCTAAGATCAAAAACCCTTTTTTGTGTTAACACCACTAAAATTGCTTAATAAATAAAAGTCATTTCCCTAGGGTGCTTTTCTCCCTTGGAAGGCTGGGTATGGGACACAGAACTAGTTTTTGAAAGAAAAGCTTGTTTGCATGCACAAACCTTAGATGGAGTGGAATTCTCAAGCAGGATAAACAAGCTAAATTTTAACTGCATAATCAGCTCTTATTCCTCCAATCATTCTCTAGAAAAATAACTTCCTCTAGTTCTAGAAAGTACTAATATAAATCATGATCTCTGCCAGATACTTACTCAACTGTTTATAATGCCATTGCTTGGTAGGTTTAATGGGAATCATTTTCAGTATATTTCCTATAACGGCACTAAAGCAAAAATAACAGATTGCTACTTACTTGTGTTTATCTTCTGAAGTGAAATATGCTTTTCCAGCTGCCTCCGCAGTTTCACCTCTGCTCCATATTTTCCTGTAGTCCCATTATCAGCCAAAATGAAATGGGAATGCATACTATTAAGAACTGTGAGTTTACTCATGGGATTGGACATGGTTTGGTATGGCCGGACCACCTGTATGATTTAGAAGAAAAAGAAAGAGAAAAGGGAAAGCATAGAGGGGGAGGGACAGAAAGAGAGAGAAAGATGGATGGATCAATACTTTAGCACAGTTAAAATATAGCACACCATCTTTCTGACATTGCTTTTGAAAAGCAATATATGAAGTCATCAAATGGATATTAAAATGTTGGAACCAAAGGATCATGAGGCATGCTTAACAAAATTTTACAAATTCTTAGTAAAGGTAATTGAGTTCATGTTTTTTTTTTAATTTTTTTTGGTTGGGCAGTGGGGTTAAGTGACTTACTCAGGGTCACACAGCTAGTAAGTGTTATATGTCTGAGGCCGGATTTGAACTCATGTCCTCCTGAATCCAGGGCCGGTGCTCTATCCACTGTGCCACCTTGCTGCCCCTGAGTTCATGTGTAAGGTATAGCCAACAATGACCACTTCACTGGGCATTTAGTCTTGGTGTTTATCATTAAATTTATGAATAAATCAGAAAAGGCTATTTAAACAGTGTTTGCTACTCCCCCCCCATTCTTTTCTCAATCATTTCCCTGAACTAATAGCTGTAGTAGATAATTTATTAAAGAGAGGAATAAGTAAATAGATAAATAAATAACTGAATAAATGAATTCTCAACAATCTAAGAAAGAATAATGCTAAATCAAGCAAATATTATAGTTGTGTAACCTTGACCTTTAAGGAAAGAGATGTTTCATACTTTTAAAGCTCTGAGGCTTTCTTCTTGTAAAACATGGTTTTATAGCCCTATGGTTCTACAGTCTAGTTCTATTGGTCTTATCAGCCACAGTTGGACATGACATAACATGACTCTAACATAGTGATGTCATTTTGGTCCTCGTCAAGAAGGAAGGACAGCAACCAACCAACTCTGAATGAAGAATGGAAACAACACTCTGTTCTAAAGTAACAAAACCCTGTTTCAATGTCTTCTTCTTATTGATCCTCATTTCTTTGGATCTTAGGCATCGAACAAGTAATGAATGACCATATTTTACTCTGGAGTTTGTGTTTCCTGAGATATAAGGGAAAAACATCTGAAAAAGGTAAGTAAAATACCTTTAATTTATCTTCAAAATCTGATCAACTATAAAATAATAAGGAGACAGAAATAATGAGAAAGGAGCTTATAGTCTCTATGAGAAATATGAATGAATCCAACAAGTGAAAAAATGCAACTAACCCATAGGACATCAGCCAACTAATGAATGCACAAATATTCATTGTGCATCTTCTATATGCTAGGTACTGGGGATGCAGATATAGAAACAATGCCTGGTCTTGAGAAGCTAATTTACACTTCATCTTCTAGTCACTTAAAAAGAAAGATGTATTTTCCCCAAATTTTTCCATGAATACTTGCTGACAAACTGCCCTATATCTGCAAGAAGACATTCAGATAGATTTGCCTTCAAATATCCTCTCAGTATTCTTCACAGTGAATAGATGAACAGTTATTATTGCCTGTGTTACAATTTACATATCTACAAAACGATATGCTGTCCATCCTGTTGTATTTTCCAAATAGAAAAATTATATTTGCTTTCAATAAATACTAATGAGTTTTCCCTTTTGATAAAATATCTGAGGTTGGGGGCAGGAGAGGGCGAGTGGTAATGCAAGCTTTCTTATCAAGCACTAATAAAAAAACCAAACCTGATATTTGTTCAAAAACCTTTGAATGGGGGGAGGGTGGAGAATATAAATGAGGGATAAATAGGCATCAATTACATGTTTATCACAGGCAGGGATAAAGAAAAATTATATGGTCTTCAGATAGCCTCATATGTCAAAGAAGGAAGAATTTTAATATCTTTTGAGATTAGTAAGATAGAAGAAGCCATAGTTCAGATGAAAGAATACTTAGGATCATTAAAACTTCAGTAGCAGGTACTTTGTGGAAGTCCTTAACTAGCTAACTTTTATACCTATATACTGCCCCCATTTCCCTTTCCCCTCTTGTCTGTCAAGCTTGAAATACAGATGGTCTTCACTCACTCACTATGACGCTGGAAAAATAACTCTGGTGGTGGTGGTAGTAGAATGTGAGTTTATGCTTCAATTCCTTCTCTACCTTCTATATCTGAGGAAAGAAGGTGCTATAAAGTATGAAGCATGATGACAATGAAGATAAAGCCAAGTACTTTCAGAATTACATCTATACAGCCATAAAAATTAGGACTGGAAAAGACCTTGGAAATTGTCAACTCCAAAGCTCCCCATTTGGTACAATTACTAGGTGACCTTCTACTTTCATTCACAGTGTATGAATTCCATCAATGGAAAGAGTCCTAGATTTGGAGCCAGAGAATATAGGTCTGATCCTGGATCTAGTACCTATGTGACTTTGAACAAGTCACTTAACTTTTCTGTCTTGGTTTCTCATTAATGAAGGAGTTTTACTAGATCACTTGGAAGATCTCTTCTAGATCAAAATTTATGATCCTACAAGGATTTGGAACCTAGAGAGCCTATTTCAAGTTTCCATGACACCACATATGATAGGAATGCATCTTAAAGTGGTTTCTGGCCCTACTTAAGTATAGGACTGGGAGTTAGAAGATTTGATTTCTAGTCCTTAATTCTTACTTATTGTAGGTAAGTCACGGAAACTTTCAGAGCTTGTTTCTTTTTACCAAAAATGAGGTTGGACTCAATACTCTCTAAAATCACTTACAGCACTCTCAATCTATGATTCTTTGCTGGTCAGCCAGTGATAGATTGCATTTGCTTCATAAGCAGTCGGTGCAGAATTCAACGAACTTCTCAAAGATAAACTTTCCAAAATGGATACATCCTTTGTTGTGTATAAGAAGGATGTATTTCCAGTAAAGAGGCATCCTGAACTTTTGGGTGGTACATTCATATCATCACCACCATCACCACCACCATCATCATCAATACGCAGAAATTTTGATGATATACTGTTTTGTCTTTTATATTTTTAGGAAGGTGTATGTATCAAGAGCATGGTATCAGTGAATGAGGATGTAGTAAGACGGATTATCGGGGTCATAGGGTTATAGATTAGAGCTAGAAAGGACCTTCACTTAGTCCAACTCCCAGTTTTTAGGGATGAGGAAACAAAAGACTTAGGGACGTTAAGGGATTTGCCTAAGATGACATCAATATTAAGTAGCAGGGCCAGGATAAGAAAGTAGATACCCTGCCTATAAAGCCAGTGCTTTCCTCACTGTTCCACAGTGCCATAGAGCTGTGGGTCTCTTCTGCAAGATTTTTCTGTTTCTTTTTTGGTGGGATTCTTTTTCATTTTAGGTTTAGCTTAAGCTTGACCTGAGTCTCTTTAAACTTTAAAATGATTTTTAAAAAAATCTTTAAAAGGGCTAGCCATAGAGTCACTTGGGTTCTCTTTTATGTCAAAGAAAGAATAAGGTAAAGCAGGCTTTCTGCATGGTAATCTCAGAAGTCCCACACCCTATTGATCTTTGAATTGTGCAAACCAATGATAATGTCACTATTGGTAACAGGGAAGGGGGATGTGTGGAAGGGGAAGGTAGGTAGCATTGTGCATTTCTATGGGGATGAATATAAAGTTCCCACCTCTTTCTTTTTTAAGAAAGATATAGACTACTTTTTATTACAAGGTTAAGAAGGCAACAGTCTGGTCTTAAGGAGGACAGTTATAGTCATATTTAGTGATGGAAAGTTTAAAGGGGATTATGGCTCTTGACATCACATTTTCAGTAATTGTTTAATCAGGTACCAGGGCTACCTGCCAGAATTTTTTGCATATCCTTTCAAATTTGGTGCAAATAAAAATGTACACTCTGCATGTGCCAATAAAGTGTATTATAATGTGAGAGCATAAATATCAAGGGGGCATGATCCCACAAGAGACCTATGTTTAAAACAATATCCACTCTTTATCTTTTTTTGAAGGGTCTAGACTTGTGATTTCATTGATGCAGGGACCTCTGTGTAGAAATTCTCCTTCACCAAAGCATATAGACAACTCATATCTAACTTACATTAATCTTAGAGAATTGTCTGGGGCCACTGAGAAATTAAGTGACTTAATAAAAGTCACAGCAAGTGTGTGTCAGAGGCAAGCCTTGAATCCTCTTTCTTTATCATTATGGTGATAGAATATCTATCTTTGATCACTGTTGCATCTATTCTTCACACGTAGAATATCATAGTTTGCCTTTTTGAGTGAAGGGATGAATATGTTCTCATAACTGCTTTTTTTCACTTTCAGCAAATTCACAGCAAAAACAAAAACAAAAACAAAATAAGACCCTACCTCCTCCCTTTCCCTTTTAGCTACTGAATATAAGAAAATCTATCTTTAGCAGGCACTGAAAAGTTTTTTTTGGTTGTTGCTTTTTTTTGTTTTGTTTTACTCAAAGGTACTCACTGAGCTGTTGCTTACTTGAGAATGTTTCCTTACATGTATGCTACACCTGGAAAAGGCTTTTGTTCCCCCAACAATGCCTTTGTCTGTTCTATAAGTCATACAAAGTACAGGAAATATCATACACTTGATCAAAATGAAGAAGGCAAGATAGTTGAGCTGTGGCAATAGGAGAAAAAGTAGCTACTGCCAATATCTCTAACAAAGGCAGTCAAGCTACCTACATCCAGAAGATAAAATCAAGGAGAAGCAGCTACAGACTATTCTATGCTACTCTAGCTGTAGAAGTATCTGGCTTTGAATGAGTACAGAAAGCCAGATGAGCAACTTTTGTGAAGGTGAAGATAAGGATGAGCTTTCTGTTATTCTCAGAGAATTTCCCTATATGTTTGTTTTCCCTTTTTAAGTAAATTGTCACTGTCAACCGGGCCATGCTACAAAATGTCTGAGGTTTTAGGTGCTAAAATAACACCAAAGATTTGCTGATAACGAAACTGTTTGACAAGATCAGAAACAAGTAAGTGTTTGACCAAACCTACTGAGTCTTAATTTTCTCTGTGCCAGAGGTCATGAGACTTTGGCAGGGAGAGAGGCTGAAGGAACCTAACTA